AATTTTTATACGAAATTATGTGCTTTTGAATCCTGCATAAATCAGTGAGTAGCCAAACAGTTTTAGCCCCCAGTGATTCTGGACTGTAATGGCCGCATGGTCTGCTATGGCTATAGGGACCCTACAGTGGCCACTTGGTCTGCTATGGCTATAGGGACCCTATAATGGTTGCTTGGTCTGCTATGGCTATAGGGACCCTATAATGGCGGCTTGGTCTGCTATCGCTATAGGGACCTTATAATGGCCACACAATCTGCTCTGGCTATTGGGACCCTATAATGGCAGCTTGGTCTGCTATGCATATAGGGACCCTATAATGGCCGCATGGTCTGCTATGGCTATATGGACCCTATAATGGCTACATGGTCTGCTATGGCTTTAGTTACAGATTTTTGTACTGTTCTACAAAAAACAATTGTGCTGCTTGGGTTTTTTTTTTTTAAATACTGTTTCAAACGAACATATTGTTATTTTCAACAAGGAGCGAAATATCTGCACCATGGGTCTAAACGTCAGTGCTGGAATGGTTTGGAAAACTGAAGTGTCTGGATGGTTGGAGTGCTGGGGTAGCTCCATCCCCTCATTATGCCATGAGATTGTATTGCTTTTTAGAAGAAGAAGGGAGGAGCCTTACCTACATGATAACAGCATGTATCCAACAGCTAAGCAGGGCCATGAAATGCATGACATCCTCTATAATTAGCAGATGATTAAACCCACTAGTGCATAAGTACACTTTTTTGTTTTTAAAGCAGAGCTCCAGTTGTTTTTGTAAAAATTAAAAGTTAGCAGCTACAAAAACTTTAGCTGCTGACTTTTAATAAACAGATATTGTTACCGAAAAGCAGTGGCGTCTCCTGGGTCTCCGCCATACGCTTCATTTCTTGGTGCGACGAGATAGTTGGACATCCAGCAGTGTGCTCACCCGAGGGGGCGCCGGATACCGTCTTCGGTCCCCGGTGCCGACACATTAGCTGTGGGCATCCAGTTGTGACAACTTGCAGCTTCACAGCCAGGTGCCCATTGCGCATGCACTAGCCGCGCTGCACACTGTGACTGTGCTGTGTCCCAAAAGACCCGCAGTCTTCTGGCAAAATATACACCTGTGTTGCACCCTTGATATTTTTCCTGTCACACCAAAAGACATGGTGGCTTACACATGTTTATTCCCTTGTATGTATTGGGGAGGCAGAAAAGGGAGTATGACATAATGTCACACAAAACCCGATGGCAAATGGGCTAGTTTGGCACCCTTAACTTAATATTTGGTTAAGAAAAAATTAACTGATCAATAAGCTTCTGACATCTTTTAATTTTGGACCACTCTTCCTTTGCCAGGTCTCTCTTATTGCCACAGCAATTTTAAGATCTCTAGATCTGGGCTCATTTGTGCAGTGCTTTTTGACGTATGTGCCATGCTAATCCTTCACAGTCATCCAGTTTTTGTATATTCCGTTTCCTAGAATGATGTGCTTTACCGAGCATCTGTCCACAAGAACAAAAAGGTTTTCCCAGAAACAAGCACACATGTTTAATGGGAAAGAAAATTAAACTGTGCAGTTGATTAAAGTGTAAGGCCCTATGCACAGTACCCGGTTGAGATTTTTGGTGGAGATTTACACACATCGCTGCATGCTGAGCTTATGGTAGCGCATTCATTTGAATGGGCTGCCCTATGCGCATTTGTCGCACAAAAGACAATGTGTTCTGTTTCGCCACCTTTGAGGAGCCATTAATGCCATGATTTTGCCATGCTTTGTATGATTTTAGCATGATTTGGAATCGTGGGTGGAATCTCACCGATTCTGCCAACGAGTCCAAATCACTAGGTGTGAATGTGGCCTAAATGTAGGCAAACAGCTAAATAGACAGTTAACACACATTATGCTCAACCAGCCTAAAGACCTCTATTGTCAAGCATGTGACTGTAAGTTTCAATGGACTTAACTGGAAATAACCGTCACTTTTTTTTAAAATACGGGGTACTTAACCTTGTGTGTTAGCTGTGTGTGTGTCTCACTGAGTAAAAATATTTAGACAGTTTTCTAATTCTAGGCTGCTTAAACTGGCTGCTGACAGATTCATGTTCAAACTGATCTCAATAACATCCAACTATAGATTGAGCCCTGGTTCACACTGATGCGGTGCGGAATTTGCAGCGTTTTCTGCGTTAATTCCGCACCACAACAGAATTGCACCCTGTTCATGCGAACTGCTGCAGGTGTGTATGTTAACCTCCCTAGCGGTCTGATTATGTCAGTATTTCTGTGCTGAAAGTGGTACATTTTTTTGCATGGAAATATGTCTTTTTTTATTGTAGGCCTGTAATTTTTAAGAATAACTCACTGAAATCTGTCCCAACAAGAGTCTAGTAAACATCCCGGTATAATAAAACTTGAAACATGAAATCATAAATTATAATATAATAAATAATCATAAAAATAATAATGTAATAATAATAAATTTAATTCAATAATATAATCAAACCAAAAACACTGAAATTTGAAATATAGCGCCAAGTTCGCACATCACTGAGCAAAGTCGCAAAATCGTTTTCAGTGTCTGATGACGAATTTCCCCACCAATCATTATCACTCAATTCTGCAAGTGGTTCTGATTTACTATCGCTGTTCTCTAGCTGGTCTAAAACCGCTTTTGACCTAAAGGGACGCTTTTTGGATGCCATAGACTTTTCTAAGTTTCCAGGCAGAAAGAACAGTAAAAATGCAGGCAGAGCACAGGACAAAGCACTAGGGACAAAATGTATGTGAAATGCTTTGGCAAAGTAATGTTTTACTATTGTTATTTTAGTGTATTTTGTGAATGTCACTTTTTAAATTTTCAAATCTCCCGCCGGTTCCGGCCCCCGTACGTCCGACCCGGAAGACGGATGCCGGCATCGGCCGGAAGAGATGGTCAGGGACGCTGCAGGGGACACATCGCGGGAGCGCAGGACAAGGTAAGTGCTGCAGGGAATCCCTGAGCAACGCTGCATTGTATTCCCGAGTGTAGCTTGGGGTTACCACTTTTGGCACTGAAACTTTACCCCGAGCTACACTCGGGAATACCGCCACGGAGGTTAAGTTAACAGCACCCCAAAAGCGGTCCGCAAAACGCAATGTGATGTGCAGAATCGGATCGCATAGATGTGAATAACCATGCAATCTGATTATAGTGCGGACCCAAAAAGGGTCCTGCACCTTTTTGGTGCAGGTGCGGTGCAATTAAAGCCATACAAAATGTATGGCTCCAATCGCACCGCACACAAATCGCATGTGATTTTCACAGGAATGCGGTGCGGTTCCTGTGCGAATCTCATGCGATATACCGCACCGCATATATGTGAACCCAGGCTCAATATTGAGTCCACATATATTGTTTACATTTTTCCAAGCCGTGATAAAGAGGGCAGAGGCACAGGCCCCAAAACGTATTGGCTATTATTGGTATAAACGTTTTGTTATTTATTTCAGGTACTTATACAGCACCTTCAATTTACACAGCTCTTTACATATATATAGTACATTCACATCAGTCCCTGCCCTCAAGGGGCATACAATCTAAGGTCCCTAACTCACATTCATACATCGAAAGAACAGAGGTATACCGCTCAGGCAAACAATCCAGATCAATCCACAACAGGTGCAGGCTCTGGTTCGCCACCACACATGATGCAATAGGAAGAAGGGTCAGCCGCACTCCGGAGGATAGATGAATATAGTGTGTATTTATTGATCCATAGGACACACAAAACACCACGACATGAATACAGGACTTGTTAACGCATTTCACATGATCTTGTGCTTAATCCTCACATTCATACATTCACATACTAGGGCCAATTTAGACAGGATCCAATTAACCTACTTGCATGTCTTTGAAGTGTGGGAGGAAACCAGAGTACCCGGAGGAAACCCACACAGCCACAGGGAGAATATGCAAACTCCAGGCAGGTGGTGCCTTTTTTTTGGGATTTGAACAGATGACCCTACCGCTGCTAGGCCGAAGTGCTAACCACTTCGCCACTGTGCTGCCCACACATAAACTTGTAACTGAACCTGAATATTACAGTGTGGCACTTCAATTGCAAATTATTAATCTGCCACAGTACAAGATGAATGCAAGAAGATTGTGAAAGCCTTACAGTATGCTGTCAGCCCAATATTCATATTCTCTATACTTTCACTTCTACCATATTATTGGATGAAAACAACAGTACTGTATAAAGAAAACATAAAATGGCAGACTGATCTCCCACCTACAACGACTACATATGTAAGAGGGCAGTTCTCCACTGACACACACTGTAAGGAGTCACTTCTACACTGATCACCAGTGAAGTTGACATTTTTCCACTAATCACCAACAGGCATTTCCCAACTGACCACAAACGTAAAGGGACGCTACAATTTTCACACTCAGTTTTTCTGCTCTGGCCACTATTATTCATCTTTATGATTACTATTGACGCAAGGGAATGTTGCTAAATAACTGGCTCTTGTTGTCAAAAATCCCAGGTATGCCGTATTCATTCATTTAATACTTTCAAAGCTCACTGATCACTCTACTCTACTATAATATGTGGATATACCGTATTTTTCACTCCATAAGGCGCTCCTAACCATAAGACACACCTAGGTTTTAGAGGAGGAAAACAAGAAAAAAAATATTCTGAACCAATGGACTGCAGCATAGTACAGGAAATGACCAGAGACTGCAGATTTACTACAGGAGATGACCAGAGACTGCATACATAGTACAGGAGATGACCAGAGACTGCAGACATAGTACAGGAGATGAACAAAGACTGCAGACATAGTACAGGAGATGACCAGAGACTGCGGACGTAGTACAGGAGATGACAAGAGACTACGGACATAGTACAGGAGACGACCAGAGACTGCACACATAGTACAGGGGATGACCAGAGACTGCGGACATACTACAGGAGATGACCAGAGACTGCGGACATAGTACAGGAGATGATCAGAGACTGCGGACATAGTACAGGAGATGACCAGAGACTGCGGACATAGTACAGGAGATGACCAGAGACTGCGGACATAGTACAGGAGATGACCAGAGACTGCGGACATACTACAGGAGATGACCAGAGACTGCGGACATACTACAAGAGATGACCAGAGACTGCGGACATAGTACAGGAGATGACCAGAGACTGCACACATAGTACAGGAGATGACCAGAGACTGCGGACATAGTACAGGAGATGACCAGAGACTGCAGACATAGTACAGGAGATGAACAAAGACTGCAGACATAGTACAGGAGATGACCAGAGACTGCGGACGTAGTACAGGAGATGACCAGAGACTACGGACATAGTACAGGAGACGACCAGAGACTGCACACATAGTACGGGGGATGACCAGAGACTGCGGACATACTACAGGAGATGACCAGAGACTGCGGACATAGTACAGGAGATGATCAGAGACTGCGGACATACTACAGGAGATGACCAGAGACTGCGGACATAGTACAGGAGATGACCAGAGACTGCGGACATAGTACAGGAGATGACCAGAGACTGCGGACATACTACAGGAGATGACCAGAGACTGCGGACATACTACAAGAGATGACCAGAGACTGCGGACATAGTACAGGAGATGACCAGAGACTGCACACATAGTACAGGAGATGACCAGAGACTGCGGACACAGTACAGGAGATGACCAGAGACTGCGGACATAGTACTGCGGACACAGTACAGGAGATGACCAGAGACTGTGGACATAGTACAGGTGATGACCAGAGACTGCGGACACAGTACAGGAGATAACCAGAGACTGCGGACATAGTACAGGGGATGACCAGAGACTGCGGACATAGTACAGGGGATGACCAGAGACTGCGGACATAGTACAGGTGATGACCAGAGACTGCGGACATAGTACAGGAGATGACCAGAGACTGCGGACATAGTAGACAGAGACTGGGACATAGTACAGGGGGATGACCAGAGACTGCGGACATAGTACAGGGGATGACCAGAGACTGCGGACATAGTACAGGTGATGACCAGAGACTGCGGACATAGTACAGGAGATGACCAGAGACTGCGGACATAGTACAGGAGATGACCAGAGACTGCGCACATAGTACAGGAGATGACCAAAGACCCAAATTTGACAGGTATACGCTCCCACTTCCGCTGCGATTGCATCTCTCCCCGTAGTCTTCTGGGACACGTGACAGGTCCCAGAAGACTACAGGACCATTCACAAAGCGCAGCGCTACGCACGCATGCGCAGTGGGCACCTAGCTGTGAAGCCGCAAGCTATTACAGCCGGGTGCCCACACTAAAGATGATGAGGTGATGAGGACACCGCTGGACCGAGGAACAGGTAGGACCGAGGAGCAGGTTCTGCTGCACAGAAGAGCTGGGTGGCCGTCCTGGTATTCTAACACAGTGGAGATGGGGGGAATACCGAGCCGGCACCTCCATATTTGCTCCATAAGACGCACAGACATTTCCCCTCATTTTTTGGGGGGAAAAAGTGTGTCTTATGGAGCAAAAAATATGGTAATCATTTTTGCAGGGGTTTCCTGAGAACTCTAAATTAATTTGGGGGTACTCAAGCATACAAAGGTTGAGAAAGGCTGTTCTAAAGCTAGCCATAGATAGATTGTTTGGGGACTCTCACAATACACTGATCATTGGCTACAGCCACTGATCGAGGACATCTTTCCAACAAGCTCATTTGACAGAAGTCATTCATTAGATTGACTTCTGCTGAGTGGGAGTGGCCACACATGAACCTAAATTTGTCCAGTCCCTGCTGAACTACTGAATTTCAATGTCCTTATGTCAACTCCAGATTTCATTATTTATAATCTATACACTGAAAGCAGCTTGTGCTATAGATTCAAGAAAATGCCATTCTGAACCAGGGTTCCTCTTGTGGATGCTAGGGGTTCCTCGAGTTGTGGTGATTGACCCCCCATTTGATGGTGCCTGCATAGTTCCAGAACCAACACCACTTGGCAGAGCCCAGAGACCTTTTTTAGCTGTCTGTAAGTGGCAATGAGACCCCCACTGTAAGGGAGCCATTCTTCCTGCTGACCACCAATGTTAAGGGGCATTTTGCCCATTGATTCTGAATGATTTGGTTCTAGTAGGGGTTCCCCAGGCCTGAAAATAGTTTTATAGGGTCCCTGTGTTATAAAAATGATGAGTAAGGATGTTTTTGACACATTAAAAACCTAACATTGATAATATGTCTGATATGGGAGTGGAAAGGACCAAATGAGCTTGCTGGGAAAGAAAAGTAAGACTGGAAGCATAGCTTATCAACCCAAGGGGGAGGAAGGATGTGGGAGTTGATGAGCTGAAAACAAGCAGGAAAACACAAGGTCTCAATGGGCTGTTTTAGTGTTTGTCTTCTAATTCTTTTCCCACATACAATACCACATCTTTATTTACAAGTAACTCAAAGAGCAATATCTACTACCCAACTCAGAGAAGACATTTTAACATGAGTCTTCTTCAGGAGGCAAGCAAAACAGGACTGATTTCACCATCAAAAGTCCTCTAAATATTTACTTAAAACAGGCGTACTACATTAGGTTTTAATCTGAAAATCATTTTTTCACCCACCCCATATTTAATTTATAAAGAAATGGAAGCGATCTGCATGAAAACAAAAAAAAATCCCCAGGATCCAAACTGCAGATGGGCAGTGACAGCAAAGAAGCCATAAATAATAATGACCCAAAACAACAAATCCTTGTTTAATATCCCAATCACACTGGGGATTTTGTGGCTTTTACGGGCCAAGAAATCAAAGAGGGTTTTGTCCAACACCCAGAATTATCTGTCAGCTATAGATTTGGAATTGGCTATAAAACAGCGTTCTAGGCCTCTATGTGCGTGTCGGCGGTCTGCGGCCGAATGGGCATAAATAACGTTCTTCCTAATGGTGCGGTTTTACTCTCGGTGCACATGGTTGGAAAATACTGCAACGTGGTACCTCTCCAAAATTGTCATTGTCCTACCCATGCCAAAGTCATTAGGGGAACCACTAGATACAGAACTGGAGATCCACTGATCATTCAGTAAACATGTCCACGCTGGTGTCTTTTCATATGATTAATACATCGCATTAATAAAATCAGAAGATAGAGAGATAGGTAGGTAGATAGATAGATAGATGGATGGATGGATGGATAGATAGATAGATGGATGGATAGATAGATAGATAGATAGATAGATAGATAGATAGATAGATAGATAGATAGATAGATAGATAGATAGATAGGTGGGTGGGTGGGATGGGATGGATGGATGGATGGGTAAGTGGGTGGATGGATGGGTGGATAGATAGATAAGTGGGTAGATAGATAGATAGGTAGATAGATAGATAGATAGATAGATAGATAGATAGATAGATAGATAGATAGATAGATAGATAGATACATGGGTGGGTGGATGGATGGGTGGGTGGATGGATGGATGGATGGATGGGTAAGTGGGTGGATGGACAGGTAGGTAGATAGATAGATAGATAGATAGATAGATAGATAGATAGAGATAGATAGATAGATAGATAGATAGGGTAGATGGAGATAGATGGATGGATGGATGGATGGATGGATGGATGGGTAAGTGGGTGGATGGACAGGTAGGTAGATGATAGAGAGATAGATAGATAGATACATGGGTGGGTGGATGGATGGGTAAGTGGGTGGATGGACAGGTAGGTAGGTAGATAGATAGATAGATAGATAGATAGATAGATAGATAGATAGATAGATGGATAGATGGATAGGTAGATAGATAGATAGATAGATAGATAGATAGATAGATAGATAGATAGATAGATAGATAGATAGATAGATAGAGATAGATAGATAGATAGATGGATGGATGGATAGGTAGATAGATATATGGACGGATGGATGGACGGATAGATAGACAGATGGCATTGTGGGTCGTATGTGACATGTGTCCTTAGCCATGAACATGTCTGTGTAGCTGCGATCAGTAACATGGAGCTCAAGCCTATTGTACATGTACACAAAGGAGCTGGAAGAAATGCAGAACACACCATGGTACACACCAGAACACATCCATCTAAATCGGGGAACAATGAGACGAGCACCCAGCCACCGATCAGCACCTCCTGCTGGACTAGGCACATAGGTAGAGTAGTCTATGACTGTACTGCATACATGGTACATATCATTGCAGATATACATGGAAAGCTATACGGACAATCACTTATGTACTGATCACTGGGAGATGGATGGGTGACAGATAGACAGGTAGGTAGGTAGGAAGGTAGGTAGATTGGCTGTAGGGTAGGATGTGATGGAGTCTATGTACCTGCAGTGGATGGCCTGCATTCACATCATCCTGCTCCAGGCTTCCCCTTGTTGTTGCTGATCTGGCAGTATGGCAGTGTCCCCCAGCAGTGCCCACACAAGCCCCCGGTTGGGGTGACACCCGGTGCTGCGATGTGACAGAACAAATCAGTGCATGGAGAGCCCCGGTTTGTCGTGCAGTTGTGTGACAGCAACAGCTCGGCTCCCTCCTCCTCCTCCTGTGACCGAGAGAGGGGGCTGCAGAAGCTGCACACTGCCTCCCAGCCTCCTGATCCTCAGTGAGTGTGGCCTCCCGACGATGGCAGGAAATCCCTGGATTACACGATCGCTCAGTGTTTTCCTTCTAATCGGAGCACTACAGAGACCAGATGACAAAAGGTGCGGAGTCCCTCGGTTGCTTTTTTTTTTTTTTTGATTGCTTCCAAAAAATCTCTCCTTGTGATGAGGATTCAGCCAACCCTGGGCAGGCTTGCTTGTTCAGCCCACTGACAGGGAGGGTCCTCCTGATCCCTGGCTTCACATTACTCCTCCTCTGCTACTCACTGAAGACCACCACACTCCCCTTCTACATGGAGCTGCTGGCAAGCTGGCCTTCTGGAGGAAGGGGGATCTATGGATGACATAAATACTGGGGGTCGATGTGGAAGGATCGCTGCTAGGATGCAACCTATTGGAAGCAGCCATGTTTTTTATTAACAGGTTGTGTTTACAATTACAGTTAAACAAAAATGTAAAATATTGTATGTCATCCCCAATTCTGGATCACACTGATGCAGTGCAGAATTTGCAGCGGTTTATGTGCCATTTCTGCACCGCATCATAATCGCACTCCGTTCATACGAACCGCAGCGGGTGTGTATTTTGACCACTTGCCCTCCAGAGGATTTACCCCCCTTCCTGACCAGGCCATTTTTTGCGTAACGGCGCTGTGTTACTTCAACTGACAATTGCGTGGTCATGCAACGCTGCACCCAAATGAAATTTACGTCATTTTTTCACACAAATAGAGATTTCAGTGGTAATTGATCGCCTGTGCCTTTTTTATTTTTTGTGCTATAAAAAAAGATACAATTTTGAGGAAAAAAAAAACAGTATTTTTGACTTTTTGCTATTAACCACTTGCCTACTGGGCACTTTGAATGACTATTGTGCGGTCATGCAACCAGGGGCAGACTGACAACTCATGGGGCCCCCAGGCAATAGGGGATCATGGGGCCCCTGTGTCCTTGCCCAAACTCAAAAAAGCCTATGAAAAAGGTACTGGGGCATCTCATGGGGCCCCCTACTGACCCCGGGGCCCTCGGGCAGTGCCCAAGTTTCCAAATGGTCAGTCCGCCCCTGCATGCCACATTGTACACATATGAAATGTTTATCAGTTTTTCCACACAAGCAGAGCTTTCTTTTGGTGGTATTTAATCGCCACTGGGGGCAAAAAATTTGACAAAAAAGTTTTTCTTTCTTTCTATTATAAAATTTTGCAAACAGGTAATTTTTCTCCTTCACTGATGTGCGTTGATGAGGCAGCACATATAGGCATTGATAGGCAGCACTGATGGGCACTGATAGGAGGCACTGATAAGGTGGCACGGATAGGCAGCACTGATGGGCAATGATAGGTAGCACTGATGAGCTGGCACTGATGAGGCAGCACTGATATGCAACAATGATGGGCACTAATGGGTGGCACTGACTGGTGGCACTGCTGGGCACTGACTGGCGGCACTGATGGGCACTTATGGGTGGCACTGCTGGGCAGCACTGATGGGGGGACTGCTGGGCACTGGTAAGTGGCACTGCTGGGCACAGGTGGGTGGCACTACTAGGCACTTATGGGCACAGGTGGGTGGCACTACTTGGCACAGGTGGCTGGCACTACTACTAGGCACTGCTGGGCACAGGTGGGTGGCACTGCTGGGCACAGGTGGGTGGCACTACTAGGCACTTATGGTCTTAGATGGGTGGCACTACTTGGCACAGGTGGGTGGCACTACTAGGCACTGCTGGGCACATGTGGGTGGCACTA